CGCGCTAAGTGACTCTCCTTTCTCCGCCAGTTTAACTTTCAGCGCCCATCTCCAGAAGTCTAGGTCTCCATGGAACTCCCAACCGAGACGTACCTGCCTCTTCTCTCTCGACCGTCTGTTAGCCTTGTCGTGTAGGCCGGTGAGGCGTAAGAGGTGCCACACGAAATATTTCCCCGCCCTCATGACATATGTCATGTTCCAGAGTTTTCCAGCCAAACTCAGGACTTCTTGCACACTAGCGAATTCTCTGGTCTGTGGCCAATCGTTCTCTAGCGCGGTCCTTATCGCATCGATCCTCTCATGTGTTGTTGCGATCGTCATTTCATGGGTGTCTATCGTGTGTCCAAGAAAGTCCACTTTCGTGTTCCAGTCTGTGCTTTTCTTCGGGGCGAGAATGGGCGTTTGGCCCGCCTCTGCTGGCCCGAAGAGTCTCACACAGTCAGACGCTAATGACGCGGAGGCTACCAGCGCTGAAGCGTCGTCTGGCGCATGTTGTACTTTCAGTAAAGCGAAATCGTCTACGAACACCCCGCACGAGAAATCGTCGTGGGGTCCGCCTCCGTCAAGCGGTTTCACGTTGGCGTCTCGGGGCACTCGGGCGGGTGGTCCGTCTTCCCACGGCTCGACTATTTTTACATGTGACATCATTTCGATCCCTTCGTCTACTAGTTGTACGTTGTGTACGTTGGTGTTGCGGTGTGAATTATCAGCAGCGGACGCCATGACTCCCCAAAAACCGGGCGAACCTGCCCATCCAAACGTCAGTCTGAAGTCGGCGACTAGTACGTCTCCTATCACATAGCAGCACTTTTGTGCATCGTCTGGCGCAACTCTCACGTTTCGGTAAGCGTTGTTCACGTCCCCTGTGGACAGTAGTATCCTCTCGTCAGGCCATTTGACTCTCAAGCGCGTTATTTCAGCAAGGAAAGCAGGTAGAGTCTCTCCGCACAAACAGTCGGGTACTTCTTCCGTTACCGTATCCACGTTGACTCCTCCCTTCTGTCCGCGCATTAGTTTGGGGTCAAAAGAAAAACCGTTTATGATTCTGATTTTTTTTCCTACCACAGCTCCTAGCGGCGATACGCGAACGCCCTTCATGCGAGCCGCGTCCGCTACGTCGAATACGAGGCATCTGTTCTGTTCGACGTCGTCTATCAGCTTCTTCCACACCAGTTCCGTGTGGGCGTCTATCGTACTGTGATTTCCGTATCGAAGAGCGCTCTCGAGGTTAGGCGGCCTGTCGTGCGTTTTTGCTGGCACACCGTTGTCTACGATGTCTAGGAGATTCGCTAAGTCTGGGAAGTGTTTTTTGGTTCCGAAGTGTTGTTCGAGGTCGCTCAGGTTTAGCGGCGGTGACACCAAGGTGCCGCCGATTTCCCTCGCGACGTCTCCCAACTTTCCGTCGTTCGTTTTTAGAAGCATGCTACCAGTCTTCGCAAGTTCGTGAATGATTTCCTGTTTTTCGTCAAGTCGTGTACCACGTGCTAGGCATTCCTTTTGTTCTCTCCACATTTCAGCCAGTAGCTTCCCATAAGGAGGTGGCAAGGCTGCCGACCCGTCACTATCCGAGTCCCTCTTGCCGTATGGGTCTTTGTCTCCAATACACGTATTGGGTCTAGCACTCTTGTGATCTTCTCCCTGGTGCGAGGGGTCTTTTTCTCCCCGGTAACGGGGGTCTTCTCTAGTGTTTCCACTAGGTCTTTCTCTGTCTTTGTCTCCAATACACGTATTGGGTCTAGCACTCTTGTGATCTTCTCCCTGGTGCGAGGGGTCTTTTTCTCCCCGGTAACGGGGGTCTTCTCTAGTGTTACAACTAGGTCTTTCTCTGTCTTTGTCTGCAATACACGTATTGGGTCTAGCACTCTTGCGATCTTCTCCCTGGTGCGAGGGGTCTTTTTCTCCCCGGTACGGGGGTAGTTCCCACTAGGTCTTTCTCTGTCTCTGTCTCCAATACACGTATTGGGTCTAGCACTCTTGCGATCTTCTCCCTGGTGCGAGGGGTCTTTTTCTCCCCGGTAAAGGGGGTTTTCTCTAGTGTTCCCACTAGGTCTTTCTCTGTCTTTGTCTCCAATACACGTATTGGGTCTAGCACTCTTGCGATCTTCTCCCTGGTGCGAGGGGTCTTTTTCTCCCCGGTAACGGGGGTCTTCTCTAGTGTTCCCACTAGGTCTTTCTCTGTCTTTGTCTCCAATACACGTATTGGGTCTAGCACTCTTGCAATCTTCTCCCTGGTGCGAGGGGTCTTTTCTCCCCGGTAACGGGGGTCTTTTCCAGCGTTCACGCCGGGTCTATTATTTTCTCCCGTGTTACGGGGATCTCTTTCTCTCACTTGTTCAAGTCTAGCGCACGGTTGTTCTACTCCTTGGTTAGAGGGGTCCATTAGCGCTGGTTCTGCAGTAATTTCATGTTCATCACTATTGGTGCGTAGTCTACTTTGGCTGGTACTTCTACGAGTACACGGTTGTTCTACTCCTTGGTTAGAGGGGTCCAATAGCTCTGGGTCTGCAGTAATTTCATGGTCCTCACTACTCGTACTTGATTTACTCGGGCGGGTACTTCTTCTCTCACCGTAGAACACGTTCGGTGCCACCAACCCGGGAAGAGGCGCTTCAGTTAGCGCCACGGTCCTGCTCCTGTCTACAAAAGCTGCTACCGTGGGGTCATCCGCCCTCCTCGCCCGCGTTGGCCCCACCTCTGGATGGGGCCCGTATTGTCAGGAGTTGGCACCTGCTGCTCCGTGTGGCCTGTAGTTGTGTTGCTGTAACGGGCGACTGGGTGTTAAGGCCCTGGTTTAACACGGTAATATTTGGGCCCAGAGCCTGTGCTTGCTGGGGCTGTAGCACGAGCTGGCCGCCTAGCGGGAGATTAATAGGCTGGGGCTGGCCTTGCTGCTGGAGGCCGGCAGGGGGGAGGTGGCCAGGCTGCTGTGGCTGCTGCTGATGCTGCTGTTGCTGGTGGTACTGCTGCTGCTGGTGATACTGCTGCTGCTGCTGCTGTTGCTGCTGCTGCTGCTGCTGCTGTTGGTACTGCGGGTGCTGCTGCTGCTGTTGCTGCATCCTGAGCTCCAAGTTGCCGAGTCGATCGCTTTGCTCTTTTAGGAGTACAGATATCTGCAGCAGTAGCTGGACTGGGTTGATGGGGGGAGGTGGGCCTCCCAGCCCGGCTGGCGCGGCTCCGCCCGCATTCTGGTCTCCTCCTCCTGCGGGGGGGCGCGTTGTTGTTTCCTGCCGCCTGTTGGTTTCCCGCCGCCCCTGCTGGCTGGTTTCCTGCTGCTACTGCCTGTCCGCCACCATGGGGAGCTGCCGCGGCTGCTCCTCCTCCGCGGCCGCTGCTCTGTTGTTGGTTGGCTGCGGGCGGTGGTCCGTTGGGAGGCGGCGGTGGTGGCGGTGGAGGTGGCGCTGGCTGCGCTGGCTGCAGCTGCTGGGGGGGACCCTGACCCTGCTGCTGCAGGTTGTTGCCGTTGTTCATCACTCTGGCGTGTCTAGGACAAAAATTCGATCAAGTCCCAAACGAAAACTCTTTTCTCTCGCTGCTGCTTTGCTTCACTGCCTTTGCGGGCGATGCAACGTTTTTCCCTTCGAGGTCCTCGGCTTCCCAAGGATCCCAAAAGCTTCTGCCAACCTCTCTCTCTTCTCTGTATCCTGTACATAGCTATACCCCCGTGTACCCTTTTTTGTCTCTCGCCGCTCTTTCACGAAATTTCCGGTACGCTTCCACAAACCACGGATTCACGGTTATACCGAATCCTTCGTTTGGTCTTTCTCTCTGGCTCTGCTCAACCCTTTGTCCTTTTGGTTAGGACGCCCTCATGGCCTGATAACCTTGACAAATAACGTAGACTGCACGTCCAACATCGCCCCACACGCGTATCTTCAAAGATGGACCGTTGCCGTTCATCCGGCATTTCCCCAATAACCGCTACGCCGTTCTCATCTCACCCACA